CTTACCAGAAAACCATTTTTTTATTTAAATTATAAGTAGAGTACAGTGTAATATAAAACAATGTCGCCATAAATTTTAACCTAACAGAATTATTGATTGATAGAGTACAGTAAAATTGTAAAAATAAATTGTTCGTCAGCTTAAATATTAATCTAAGAATTGTTAACTTTCCACGTGGGTTGGTTGATGGTAAAAAATTACTAGGGTGGTAATACATTTGTAAAATCCTAACAGCACATTGTGATATTTAAAAAATAATTAAATAATGAAAAATCAAAAATAATAATCTGTTGCCTCGAATATTAAACTAGCAGGAACAATTCCAAAGAGGGCAGTTGAGGGGTGAATAATTACTAGAGTGGTAATAAAGTTCGTTAAAACCCAGCAGAACACTGTGGTACTTCCAAAAAAATATATTTTTGAAAATATTTTTTAAAAATTATTCAAAAAATATTTTTCGCTAGCGTAAATATTAAGCTAGCAGGAACGTTTCCAAATTAGATTGGTTTAGGGGTTCAAATTTATCAGGATGGTTAAAGTTTACTAACTATATAAAAACAGTTTTTTAATTCAGTTAGTAGGGTATAGAAGAGTAAATAAAAAAAAGGATTTTTCATCTTAAATTTTAATGTAACAGAAAAATTTAATTTACATGAGGGGTAGATAACGGATGAACAATTACTAAGGTGGTAATAAATTCATCAAAACCTACCAGAGCACTGTGGTATATCATTTTTTTTTAAATTCTACTAGTTGTAACCGCAAACCAGTAAAATCGCTTCCTTTATGGGTGGTTTGGTGGTGAAAAAATATTAGGGTGGCAATAAATTAGTGAAAAATTTATAAAAAAACATGCCATCGATAAAAAGAGTTAGATTGAACCTTAAGCCGGCAGAATCGCTCCCATTAAAGGTGGTTTGGTGGTAAATAATTAGTAGGTTGGAAATAAATTAGTGAAAAAGAGGTGAAAAAATATTACATAGGTAAAATTGGATTCCGCTCATTTGTTCCCGCTAGCTTAAGGGCCCTTTCTGAAAATCCGTAATGGCATGTTGGTTTTCTTCGTATCAGCACTGGTGTTTTACCAATTCAAAGACTCCATCCGATAAATATTGATTTAATTTTGAACTGGTTTAAAGTGATAAGGTTTTTTATATTTTAATAATATATATTATTTAATTTACCACTGTTGAGGCTGATAGTTGACGTAAACTTACTTTGAGATTTTAATCTACGTAGATATAGCTCATTATTTCAATGAATAATGTGCCCTGGTAGTGTTTCCTGTTGATTTAAGATTGATAACAACAGGATGGAAAGTTTTCTTTGAATCATAAATGTTAAATTTTATGTAACTATCATCTCACTTACCTTTCACTTTCTTAACTAATATAATATTACGTACCTCGGAGGTAAAGGACACCATTTTCTTACTTTTTCAGGAGAGTAGTTTTAACATTTTTTTAAATTTGTAATCAAAAAATGTTTCTTATATTTAACCAAGATTAATGTATTATTATTGTGGTGTGTATAACCGTTTTTCCTTCCATAAAGTGTTATATACCTGAAGTTTACCGTTCATTAAGTAATTTTTTTTTTAATGTGTAGTTGGACATAGTGTTGTTTAGCTCTAACAACTTTTTTAAATAATGTGACATTGCATGTTAAGGTCTCTACGAAATAAACAATACAAACACATTATACTATTATTTTATTAGATGTAAATGTTATAATGTTATAACAGTTAAATTCAGTAAAAGTAAATAAAGTTAAATTATAGACGACAAGTTTCAAAATTGTTAAAGAGACTCAATATCATCTTTATCTTCTTGTGGACATTCGTTTGTGGCTACATCGCTATGTGTTAAATTTTGATAAAACGCATGACAAACTGACAGAACAAAAGGCAGTAGTTCAATGAAGTCATTATACTTTTGTTTTGTGATTGATAATGGGTTTACTGAGACTTGATTTAATTGAGCTGGAAACGTTACTTGCTGTCTTAGATACTTCATGAAGTCCACTTCATACGTATTTTGATTATTGAAATCGGTCTTATAAAACAGCTTTCCAATGTGTTCTTGTTGGACTTGTAGGAAATCACATGTTGACAATAAAACAGGGTCTTCATTAACATTCTTTTTTCTACTTACAACAGGAGGATTAGGTGACAATTTCTTATCGAACAGCGTTTTGAAGTTTTTAAAATCTGCGAGTTCCATATTGTGCACTGTGTATTTACCTGATGTTTGCTTAACTAACTGTTGCTAGTCCCATGATGTTAAAATGGCCAAATTGGAAAGTTTCTTACTTTTTCTCCCGATTAAAGCATGAACACTGTTTGCTTCCATATGTGTGTGCCCTTTCAGTAAAAACTTTTGAGTGATCGTCTTTATTTGAGGGTACGTACGCAGTACCCAAAAATAGCACATTATAATTCTTATATTTTTATTTTGTAAATAGCAGTTACCGGTCCAAAGAGTGATGTCCTCTACTCAACTACCTGGAATTGTATTGTCAGCCCTTTTCAAAATTCACGAGGCAATTTCATTTGCACCTCGGGCCCCTTTTAATTTGTCCCATATCATAGATTGTACAGAAAAAACAGTGGCATCATATAATGTGAAATTTAATGTCCAAAGCTTCCTTTTATAAAAACTAATACAATAGTTTGTTAGTGGTGAAGGCCAACATTTTTGCAAATCACTAGATAGTACTTTGTGTTTTGGTAACTATTTAGCCAATAAAAAGTCCAAATGTTGTAAGTTATACCGAGTATTAAATCCAATTAGGCGAGCATCATGATCAGCGTGTACACTGGTTAGTTCATCTGCAGTAAGATTATTTTTCAATTGAGCGGTGAATGTACTGCATGTATCGCAAGTGTCTATTTCGGGTAATTTAAACGACAAGTTGAAGTCTTTATTAAAAATATCTGTGTACAGCTACTTTTTTGCTCTGAGCTGTGGATCTACATATCTTTCATTACATTCATTAATGTACAGTTGATAAGTACATCTTTTCTATCGTAAGTTCTGTGCCAAGATAATCTCTCTTACTCCTTTCTCTGGAGTAATGAATCTCGTACTTTCGGAATGATTTAATATGTTGATATATACTATGGTATCGGTAGGAGTTTTACTGATTAGCGTGTATCTAGCTCTTTAATCAGCTTTTATTAAACTTCCTGGCTCAATTTTTTTTTTTAATATATTTACTACTACTAAATTAGATATACAAAGTGTGTTTAAAAACATTGCACGTCTTCAATCGCTGATTGTTCACTGTAAAACGGTAGTGTAGTGTATTATTTTTAGAATTGGTAGAATCTGGGTCTTTTTTGCCTAAAATTTTTTGCCTTTCGTATTCTGACAATATTTCAGAGCATTTCATGCGACACATGCAAGGAGGCGTTAACATTTTTGCAGGCATGATTTTGCCTCTGTTACTGAGATACTCTTTCCCAGTAGCTATTTTTAATTTGCGAACATTACAGGCCCAATTTTGTTCATTTACTACACTTTTTTACCTTTTTGTTTGCACTTAGTTATATTTTGTATCTTTCGTTTAATACTTTTCATTTCTTCTAAAACAACATCATTATGTTTATTAGAATTGCCTGTATCACTGCTTAGGGATAAATCGTCCTTAAGAAGATTTTTTGTTACTGTCCCACTAGTCGCAGGAGTAATAATAGCTTTTTCTTTTACCTTTTTTTTCGCTGGTTTATACGTCTCATATCATTGTCGTCTGTTTCTGAGCTTATAGAGGCTCATAGGTTATATCAATATCCGAATTATCATCTCTAAATAAATTATCATCATCGTCCACTTCCTTACCATTACCTTGGAAGTTACTGTAGTGACCACGTGGTTCTGAAACAAATCCAGTCTTGTAATAATTTTAAAGGCCTATAACTGGCCAACACAAAAATAATCCTTATAATCAAAGATCGGAATTTACTGAGCAATTTCCCTTACTCCCATTAAAAAATATAGATCTGGCAACATCAGTTTGCCCTAATCTGTTGGTATCAACAACAACAATAATTATTGTGGTACCGGTTACACCTAACGGTAAATAAATTTTACCCAATCTGTTGTCGTATTTTGTTCATACGCGTATATATTAATAATTGCTTGGTAAATTACTGTCTCTGCTTACAACACAATAACATTAATGGCAACGCATGTGACTTAAATAACTGACAACAATCATACAATATTATGGCCATTTAAAAAAAAAACAGAAAAAATTCTTTACTAATAACAAAAACATTCTAACTGATGCTTCTATTTTAACGGTAGATACAAAAAATGTACGTACAGTTTGAAATTATGAGCCCTATACAGAAGAATATACAATACTAAATATTTGAGGTTAGAAAAATACAAAATCAGTGTTATTAAGCAATAGCTTAACTGTAAGTGTTGTTTTATTTGGAATATTGCATGACAGTAATTGTAATATTCTTTTTCCACGAGAGTTCGGATGTATTTTGCAATTATTAAACAACGAATTTATTGTACAACTTTTATCAATCTAACACAATTGCGATCTAAATAAAAAGGTTGCAATGATTTTAATTCATGACAATTCTATCACGTACAAGGGTACATAACACTATGTCCAGATGGTAAATGACCTTGCACACATTTAGTAGAGGTTACACGAGTAGAGGTTAGATGGTGCACACACCAAGTCCACATGGTGTTGTTTACCTCTGACTACTGACTGGAAGTGGACTTGGTGTTTATTAAAAAGTTGGTAACTTGCCGTAAAATTGTCTTTGGACATAGTATGGTTTACCTATGTATAGAGCCAAAAAAGTTATATTCAAAAGCGCAATAATCTGAATTTCGATAAAAATGGACATAGTGTCCTTTACCTCCGAGGTACACAAAATAATGTGATGTATATTTAATACCTTTGTATTATTGTATTGTGCTTGTGCATATTTTTTTGTTACAAATCATTTACAATCATTTTTTATGTTACAGGAACTCGTGAAAATATCAAGCAAGAATAATTTTATTTTTAGTGGATTATCTACCGAAATCATACTGTCCTTACTTGCGAATGGGGCAAATGGAAACTCAAGAGAACAATTGTTAACAGGTTTAAGCTTACCCAACAACATTGAAAATATAAATAAAGCTTATACTAAAATAACTACTGATCTAAAAGTAAATGAAAAGCTTAATTTAAGAATGGCAAACAAAGTTTACGTACATCAAAACTTCTCAATTAAAGAGCAGTTTAAAGATATTGCTGTGAATAATTATGCGGCTGATGTAGAGAACCTAGACTTTGTAAAGAGAGAAGAGGCAGCTAACCGTATTAACAGCTGGGTCGAAGAACAAACTAATAACAAAATCAAAAATCTCATAGATCCAGAACATTTAAAGAAAGATACAGGATTAGTCTTAGTCAATGCCTTATACTTCTCAGGACAATGGAAAAATCCTTTCCCAGAACGTGGTACTGAAGATAGAATATTCCACAGCTCACCTACTAAGTCTAAAAAAATTCCCACCATGTATAGCAAATCCTATGCCAAATATGCTCACAATAAACAACTTAAAGCTAAATTTTTGGAACTTGAATTCAAGGATGGAAACGTTAGTATGACGTTTGTTTTACCCGACGAAATCGATGGAATGGAAGCTGTTGAAAAAAACTTAAAACAATACTTGGCAACACAAAAAATGGAATATGCTAAAGTTGCCATCACCCTGCCCAAATTTAAAATCGAGAGCAAAGTTGAGTTTAATCCCATCTTGCAGTCGGTATGTTGTAAAAATTATTTCTTTTTATTCAATTTATACTTTTGTCTGTAATAGTTTCTATAATAATTATGTCTTTAATCTAATAATAATATTTAATTATTATGTTAAGTAAAACCGAGGATTTTTAAAATACTGTGTTCACAAATCATGAATGTGTTGCTTGTGTGAGTCCATTTCAAATAGGTAAAGAAATAATAAATAAGACTTACTCACAATCAATTTAATTTAACTATCCGACGACCGGTTTCGCTTTCTACAATATGCAAAGCATCTTCAGGTCTCGATACTAATATTAATAGAGTACCGGCATCATTTGTTTAACTTTGTATCGAGACCTGAAGATGCTTTGCATATTGTAGAAAGAGAAACCGGTCGTCGGATAGTTAAATTAAATTGATTGTGAATAAGTCTTATTTATTATTTCTTTACTTTAACTATGTTCACACTTTGTCTAAGGACTAGCACCCCCAGTGGAGTCCTTCGTTGCCATGTAATTAATTTCATTATAACAACTTAAACATCATAAAAAAAACTTTTTAAAAAGTGTCGTTAAAATTTATGTAGTAGCAAAACGTTTTCGATTTAATCAGATCATCCTCAGTGCCTTATGTAGCTGAAGGTAACAATAAAGTTCAAAGTTCAATAAAGATGTCACAGCAACAACTTTATTGTTAGCTTTTTAACAGCTAACAATAAAGTTGTAAAAAGTACTAAAACTATATCGTCGCAATAACCGCAATATGTCGTAACCCCCAACACTTAATTTTACAGGAGAAGGCAAAAACTGTTTTATGTCATTTAAACCAAATTTAAAAAAAATGTAATTAATGTGTATAAACCTATTTAATTGCTACTTTGCTAATTAATTCTTATTTTATTGTTTTATTATGATTTAATTAGTACTATTATTTTTTACTCGTTAATGGTGGCTTACAACATTGAATTTTACAAACTGGACTAATTCTGTGGATTACGACATATTACCTTATTGGGCTATTTTATGTAATATAGAAAAACTAACCAAATTCAAGTGAGTTTGACATTGTCATTAGTAATTAAAATTTATTTTATTCTTTTATTATAATTTTAAGGAGACTTTCTTCTCCCGTTGCCATGCATTTGTCTGGTTAATCTTTCACCATTCATTCTGCCTTAATCTCGTTACATTCCAAGTAGGGAAATCCTGTTATGAAATTTGGTTTAGTAAAAACTACTGTTAGTTGCACGAAAATTTTTATTTACCAAATTATAATAAACAATGTAACAGTAAGACAATTCTCATTATGTAAAGTGAGATATGTTATCGTAGTAATCATGACAGTCTTTGGGAATAACTGGTTTAAGCTCCTCTAAGTATTTGAACTTCGATGCAGATATTTTTCTTGGTTCTTTATTGGCTTGTTCCAAGTAATGGGTGCTGTAACGTCAATCATCCTGTGAGGTAATATCTGCCACTCGTGATTAAAATTTGTTTTGTAAAGTACCTCCCCTCCTGGAGTTTATTTGATTGCTCTTAGGTCAACAACTTTGTTTGTACCTGCTCGAAGTGACTTGAAGCGATATTTTGATGAATCGGAATAGTCAATAAATTCATCATAGTTTCATCCACTTGGCAACATAAGGCATAGGCTTAGATCTTTCAGTTTCAGTAGCTGTCAAATAAAAGCTCGGTAGAAAAATTGACTTGTTTTTAACTTTCCTTTCAATATTCGCATGAACAGAATCACACTCCATATGGGTTTGCCCAACTTCGAGATATTTCTGAATTATGGTTTTTTTATGATTTATCACAAAATCTAACAGCATTTCCCATTATACAATTTCTGTTTTGATACGTGCAGCCATAGAAATAAATTAAAATTTCGTCGTCATCTTGACAATGGTTTAGCACGTAACTAATTAGTATTGTAGCAAATGTCGATGCCTTTAAGTCAGTTCCAACTTCGTTAAACCAAGAACATAGCATAATATGTTTAGTAGCGTTATTATACAGTCAGGTTATGACAACCTAATTTTGTTTTAAAATATGCAGAGCTTGATTGTACTGAAGGTGCCACCTTAACAGCCTGTAAATCCATTTGAATAAGTTTAATTTTTTTGTTAACAGCATCTACTTTGTCTTTCTCTAGCTCGATTTTTCCGATGCTGTTTCCAGACATCTTCGCTAATATTTCCTACTTCATATTTTGTGCAAGTCTCACATTTATATTTTTGAATAGCATGTAACAACATATTTTTATCTTTGAAAACAACTGAGAACTTGGTTTTACTTAAGGGTGTTTTACCTCTGTTTTTAACGTTTTCACAGTATACTGTGTACAATTTTGAAAGAGTCTAAACATTGCTCTAAAAAAATTTTGAATTGTTCTTTCTAGAATAATGCGAGGGTAACTTTGGTAAATCGTCTAAAAATTTTTCTAATATTTCTTTGTGTTCCACTTTATTGTCTGTCACTTTGCAGAGTGAATTCTTCACTTCTTAAGATTCACCTATCCCGTGATTACTACTCGTTATCCAATCACGAACAGACCTCTCTCAAATAGAGAAAGTTAAGAGAAACATCTTTTTACACACAGGAAATCTTTCATTCTCCACTTTAAGCGTGTATATAAATGTGTGTCTTCTCGAATGATCTGATGTTGTGTATGTACGTTTGGGTTGGATTGTTTCTACTAAGCCAGCTATGGATATACTCGCCTTTGTTTCCATGATGTTTTCTCCCAGAATCGCTGAAAAATTTCTAGTCTTTGATCTTCATTTATCTTGTGGCATTTTTGGAGTTTCTTACAATATTCAGACGTACAACTTGGTCCAATCCTCTTATTTGCCCTTGGCTTATTATGGGTCACTTTTATTTCTCTTCTTTCATAGCCTATATATTCCTTACCTTCTGATCTAAGTTTCTTATGAACCGCTCTATGCCATTTTGATTTTTCTTAACATATCTTAGGTCTTAACATATCTTTGTTTTCTTTTCCTTTTTATGATATCTGTAACTTCATGGTTTTCTTAAGCAACAGATGTACTTTCGACTGTCACTGTTTCTTCGAATTGTGTTCCGTTATTCGAGGCCAACTCTGTTTGATTTTTTTTATCAAAGGACATATTTTGTCCGATGTCCATCTCTACTAATAATTGTATTTCATTTTGTGCGTTACCAGTCTTTAAATTCTCTTGTAAATTGTTTGAATAGGTAATTACATCATCAACATTTTGATCGGAGCTATCAGTAAATTCCCCATTGCTCTCTTGAGTAACAAATGTACTTTCAATTTGTTACTATTTCCTCAACTTGTGTTCCGTTATTTAAGGAAAACGTGATTTGATTGTTTTGAACTCTGTCAGTGTCTAATAATTGTATTTCATTCGTTAGATAATAGATTCTAAGTTCTCTTGCACATTTTTTGAATACGTAATTACATTATCATCAAGATCTAATTCATCATTACTTTCTTTATTTTCCTGGTTACTAAGATCAAGAGGAATTGTTAGTGTGCAAATGATTTTGAACAGGATAAATAACAGGTGAGTGAACTACATAAGAAATTGCTGGCGCTGTTTGATTGAATGACGGTTTCCTCCATATCACATAATGCAAGTATTCGTCTACTTCTGTTACTCATTGTGCCCTAAAATAAAAAATGTACCTTATAAGTTAAGTTAGAATAGTTAAATGATGCAATTACACGCCCAGTTGCTAATTACCAGACTGTTTTGTAAGTACCTTAATATTAGAAGAGCTACAAAATACTTAGTATTATAATACAAAACACTGTATTTAGTAATTATCTACTAAATGAACAATAAAAAATAAACTTTTACAGAGCTTTGTGGGTTTACGCCAACTGTGAAAATAATTCTAACTGTTGTGTTGTTGAAATATGTCGTAAGCCAGATATTTTAACGGTATTGTGGGTTTGGACAAATTGCACTGGTAATTTAGAAGCATTGTGGTTCCGACGCATTACTTATTATCTAATATATTATATTATACTATACTATATTATATAATATTAATAGAAAAATAGGGAACATTCTACGGCTTACGACGTTTTGCAAAAACATGTGTCAGTAACAACAGAATACGAATCTTCAAAAAAAAAAAAAGAAAAATTAAAATTGTTGCTTACGACATATTGCGGTTATTGCGACGATATGTTTTTATACCAGAATACAATTGTGAAGTGTTTTAACTTCTGTATGTTTTTATAAACATTATAGTTTTTAAATATCAAAGATATAATTCAAAGTTATTCAAACTATATTTAAAGGCCGTAAACTAATTTTCGAAACCAAATTCAGATTTTTGCTTTAATCTGTGTCTTCTAAGAATTGCAAGGCAAAACAGACGTTGATAAAGATGTTATTAGAGACATTGGGAATCTAAAATTTGCATTCCATGACATATCTCATCAACTAAGTAAAAATCCTTAGCGAATAGGTTTCTTGTATTCGTACAAAGTAATTGGAATAAAAAGGAAAAGACAGTTAAGATTTGATTTCACGTATGGTGCGTCCGTGTCCGTCCCAGCTTGCGTGGAAGAGGAGTTCTGAATAAAGTAAGTACTTAAATAAGTAAGTAAAACTCTTCTGTAAAGATCCGCGGAAGACGGACGGGCGGAAAAATCCTCAACCCCGACACGGCGCGTCCCACTGGCTGATAGGGAAATGTCCTACAGATATGTAGAATAGGTGTGAATGAGGTTTTACCAAATAAGCACCAGCGGACCAACTGAGGACACGGCATAGCGCAGCAGCTACGACAATACTTCATTAAGGCTATAGCGGAATGATTTCTACTGTTGGCTTAATGATAGACACTCAAGGGCGGATATCACATAATGATTTAACCGGCCATGATACTGCGATCAGGTAGGCAAGGGGAAACCATCTGATTAAATTCCCGTGACTACACCATTATTAACATATCGAATCAGTTAGATATGCTTAGCGATCCGATTAGCGATCGGCGCTCAGTTGGTTCCGGGCCAACTAGTGTC